GCAAAGGGCTGCAAATGGGATCCAGGATCCTTCACATCTTCCCAAGAACACATCTTAGTGTTTCTCCCCGCAGCACACAGCCTGGAAGATTAAACACGCCTAGCCTTAGAAAGGACAGCAGGGCCCCTTCCTGGAACTCAGAACCGGAACAGGGGGCGATCAGCAGCAGCGTCTGAGCCTCTGCTCCTGCCCCAGCCCATGCTGGGCTTCAGGGCTCTTGGCCGCTGCCCCGCCCAAGTCCAGCCCTCTGGCTGCCGTGCAACTCTGTGACCAGCAGCCCACCACCATTGCACCATTGCAACCTCTGTCTGCTAGAGGCCATTTCCTGCCCGGTTCTATTCTCAGAGCTCAAAACCAAAGCCCCTGCATGACCAGGAATACTGATGCAGAGCAGGACCCAGCTGAGGGGCCCCAGCCCGGGCCAGCGGCTGTATCCTGGAAAACAGGTGGCCACAGCTCTGCCTGGGCCTAAACGCCACCAGTCATCCTGCCTCAATTCCTTGCTGGGAAGAGACCTGGATGTCAGGGCCGCTGCCTGACCCTGAGCAGACCCTGACCATCCATCACCTCCAGCCCAAGCCCAGAGTCATGAGCCCCCCACCAACCCCCACCAACACCCCCACTCCTGCTTTCCCTCAGGCTCCTTCCCTAGCTGGTCAACTCCACCTTCAATGCCTTCCCCTCTCTGACCCAGGCTCCTCCTGCTGCTGTACTTTCTTTAGAAATGTCTTTCCTTCCCTCCCCCACACTGGATCTGGGATGTGAAACCAAACCTCACTTCTCCTGCCTCATCCCACTTGACCCACCCACAGCCTGTAGACAGGCTGCCACCACTGCTTTCTCCTTCCTGAACCCCTCGGTGTTAAGTCCATACTAGTGTTCCACCTGCCCCTTCTCAACCTCCCTCCCAGCACCTCTGCTTCACCCACCCGCTGCACAAGGCCATTCCCACCCCCACCAGTTCCAACCTTAGCCTTCTGCCTTCTTCCTCTTCATGCTCATTTCCCACCCCTTCATGACACTACCATCTCTGGGATTGTGAGCCAAGCCTCTCCCTAGCTCCAGACACTACTGCAAACACGTTCATGTCCCAGGTTCTGTTCCAGTGCTGGGACCACCTCATCGAATAGGACAGATAGCTCTCAGCCCTCATGGAGTTTAGACTCCAGTGGGGAAACCCACAGTGAGTGAACAAGGTAATTTCTGTTTAGCAGACCCTTTAAGGAAAATCAAACAGGACGGCGCGGTGGGAAGTGATTGGGGGGCAGGGGGAGAGCTTTAGTTAGGGAAAGGGGTGACATTTTAGCTGAGGTTTAAATGATAAAAGGTACAGAGAGGAGAAAAGAACCCCAGGGGGAGGGACTGGCAAAGGACCTGGGGTTAGGTCAGTTTGGGTTGTACAAGGGACAAGCTGAAGGAAGCAGGGCCAGACTCCAGAGGGGCTAAAGGCCATGGGGAGGAATCTGGACTGTTTTCTAGTGAGAAACCATCGGAGGAGGATGAGCAGGGTCACACCGGGATTTGCTTTCCATTAAAACAAAACAAAAAACCTCTGGACCTGTTTCATAGGTACCTCCCTTAGGCCACCATGACCCAAACCTGAAACCTTCCCTTTCCCCCTCCCCCAAGTGAGCTGGTCCTGTCATCCAGCCTATAACTTCCCCTGGAGTTGTCCCCCCCCTCCCCTCACCGCCACCCCAACTTTACCCCAGCCCTCCTCCCTAGTCTCCCCACCTCCAACTCCTGTCCCTCACTCACCCTCCTCAAGGCAGCCAGACAGATCTGCCTCGAACAAACCCATCACCAGCACTGAAGCCCTCACAGCTCCACACTGCCCTCAACATAAAGCTCACACTCTGCCCCAGCCCCAACCCCAGGACCCTGAACAAGCCGGGGGCTCCCTTGTCTGTCCCCCCTTGGCATTTGAGGGCTCCCTCTGCTCAAAGCTCTACCTCACCTCCACCCACTGCCCACTAGGCTGTCACTTTGGCTCTGCACTTGCTGGCTGTGTGTCTCTAGGTTAAATGACTTAACCTCTCTGTACCTGTTACCTTATATGTAAAATGTAGAAGATAATAAGAATACAGTAAGCTATAATCCATTTGGCATGCCTAACCCTGGCTTCATTATCGCCCCCTCCCCAGCAGGGAAGCAGAGGCTCAGAGAGAAGTGACTTGCCCACAGTCTCACAGCTAGGCCTGTACCCGAAGGCCTCCAGGGAAGTCTGCACATCCCACACCCTCCGAAGCTGACGCTGCTGGAGTCAAAGGACACCCACGTGCGGGTGACGGCACGGGAGCACCACTGAGTCCTGCTGAACAAAGCTGAATGGGCCTGGCATTTTGACCAAGGCGGCAGAAGCAGAGGCTGCGGAGGCAGCAGGCGGCCTTGGGGAGGTGAGATGGGGGAGGGAGGAGGCAAAGATGACTTGGCAGGGCCCAGGGGCCCAGATGCCACCCTGGGAGGGGCACCAGCAGCTCCCTTCTCGGGGCAGCGGCAGCCCCACCCTGGAGCCTCGGTTTGGTCCGCTGTGGAATGTAGAATCCTGTTCCCCAGGGCCAGCTCCCAGCCACTCAATGGGGAGATCCTCCCCAGGACTCTGACTATTGGCCCTTCCCCGGAAAACCTCCCAGCGAGGGGCTGGGGTGGAGGCTCTGACCCAGCCCACTTGGCCAGAGCTGAAGGCGAGGTGCCTGGCCAGGTGCTGGGAGGGGGAGCAAGGGGGCAGGAAAGGAGACCCTGCCCTTCCCTTCTTGGCAGACTCTTCCCTAAACCAGGGCTGGGGCTCAGCGTGCACCCCACACCCCAGGGTATCGAAGTGAGCTGGGCAGGAGGAAGGGACACTCGGACCACGCGTGTCCTGCCCCTTCTCCGTCGAGCCTTGAAGACTCCGGGTCCCCACACCCGGCGGCGGAGGCTGGGACCACCCCCTGCAATCTGGGCTTCCCCGCAGCTCCCTCCGCCGGTCCCGGGGGTGGGCCGGCAGCTAGGAGTGGGGAGAGCGTCCTCAGCCCTGTGGCAGGGAGTGGTCTCCCCTCGGTAGGAGACGGAACCTCCTCCCGTCACCCCCCCCGCCCCCCCCCCTCGGCCCGGCGCAGGGCCCGACACCCACCCCGCGCTCACCCAGAAGACAATGTTGAAGCCAAACAGGAAGTATTTCCCGCAGCAGCCGACCCCGGGTTCCTGGAAGTGCTGGTGCTTGCCGGGCATGGTGAGCGCCCCGCCGGCCCGCCAACTGGAGCCGGGGCCGGGCCCAGCCCTCCGCGGGCAGCCCTGGCTGGAGCCGCCCGGGGCCTAGCCCGGCGGCTGCGACTTCATGGCCAAGGCCACACCGAGCGCCCGTCGGGCCCCGCCGGCCCCGCCCGCCCCGCAGGGACCGCCCCCGGCGCCGGGACCGCCCTGCTCCGAGTGCGCTGGGTACCCGCAGCCCCGCCGCCCCGCCCCCGCCTGGCTCCGCCCCTCCCCGTTCTCCTCCGAGCCCCGCCTCGGCCTGGCCCCGCCTCCAGACACCTCCCCCTGCCCCTGCCCCTGCCCCCTCCCCTTTCCCCCTCCCCCCTCTCCCTCTCTCCCCCTGCCCCCCTCCCCCTCTCCCCTCTCCTCCTTCTCTCCCGGCTTGGCTGCTCTCGCTCTCGCCGCGGAGAGCGCCCTGGCGTCCTTCATTCCCCCCCCCCACCCCGTGAGATGCTCGATGATGGCAGCACCAACCGCGGGCATGCAGGACCCACAGTCACCCCCACCCCTCAAGGCCAGTGCCCGCGCGCCCCAATCCCCGGCCTTGCTGAGGGAGCTCATCTTGGAGAGAAGTAACTACTGCGCTGGTGAGCAGCTGGCGATGGAGGCTCGACTTGGGTTCTGGACGCACGTGCAGGACGTTTTCGCCCAGGAGTCCAATCAGACTCGCGGTTCGCTCGCCAAAAATGTAGCCCTGCCGCCCCGGCTCGCGCGGCTACACCACGCCCGGGCCCTGGGAATGGTGAGTCGCCTGGTCGCTGCCCCTTCAGTTTTTCTGGGGCACACACCCCACCCCCTGGCTCAAACCCTTTTGGTGCTTGGAACCCCAGTCTTATCCCTCTTCCCATCCCAGCGTGGGCCTGATTGGGCTCCCTGGTTAGTCTCACACGAGCGCCTTCCAGGGAGGGCGGGAGCAGATCGAGGTTTTGGAGGAACTGAGTCATAATGTTAGAGCCCTCCGTTAAAAATCATTCCAGTTTTGCGCAAAGGGGGGTATTTATTTAGAACAGGAACAGAAAGGAGCTTGAGCTCCATCAAGTTTATCCACCTGGAGTAGCAGACCCGGGTGAGGTCTGACCGCCAAGCCGCCTCCTCCCCTTCACTTAAGCTCCGCCCTGAGCCAGGGAAGGCTCAACCCGCCCTGTCACCCGCAAGGGGGAGGAACACCCAGCCTGTCCCCCTCCTCCCAGGCTGTCCCCCTCCTCAGCTCCCTGTGAGATGATGGGGTTCTGCCTCTCAGCCTCCAGCCTCTGGGGTGAGGGCACAGCCCTACTCCAAAGAAGGAAGGGGTTACTGGGTGGGCTCCAAGCCTACAAATCTGATAGGAAATCCACAACGGTTTTCCAGCACAGCGATCACCGCCAGCAGGCGAGGCCCAGGAATGCTAGCTCTCAGAGTGGCAGGAGGCTTGAGCCCCCTCCCCTAGAACAGAAGGGTTGGTCCTCAGGCCTAGCTAGCCCCCTGTCCAGGTAGGCACAGAGTCAGTACTGGATCATAGACTGTTCCTGTCGTCTTTTCACCTTCCCCCGTGACTCACCCCACCCCACCTCTGGGTGACACTGCCCTGGGTCCTCAGCCTGCCCTCCACCACACCACCCACAGAGCAGCCCCTAGGCCTGGGCCCCAACTCATGTTAAAGAATGTTCATATTAACTCCCGAACAGGTGAGAATCAGCCCTCCGCCTTCGCCCCCAGTCCTGCTGGGACACATATACAGCAATAGTGAGGGGCTCAGGGGTGGCTGAATGGAGAGGGGTGCCCAGGCCCTCTCACACCACAAACTTGTTCTTGGCCAGGTTGTTGCTCTTAGTAGCTGTGTCTGCATGGGCCTGGTACCCAATGATGGTCTTCGTCGAGAGTCCCAAGCACTCTTTGTAGACCCGCCTGGGATGGGAATAGGGGGTAAGAGGGAGAGGAAATGCGACAGGCAGTCAGCAGCAGCCCTGGAGGTAACCTGGTCCTCTGCCCAGAACTCCTACCCTGGTGCCAGCCACAGACACTCCAATTCTGTGTGTTTTAGTCATATGGAAACCCAAAATAAGACCAATGCAAAAGAAGCGTTCTGCTAGAAATCGTCTGAAATCTAGGTTCCCAAACCCTTCATACATGTGAGGAAGGCAGAAGGGGTAAAAGGCAGGCAGAGTTCCAGAGGTCCTCCTTGTAGGCCAAGCCCCCACCCCCCATTTCACTTTCTCCCCTAGAAGAGGCCCAGCCCCCACCCCATGCCAGACACCCTCACCCGATGTAGAGCACGCCCATCTGGTTCTCTGCCTCCCTCGTCCACACTGCGATCTTGTCCCCCTTGGTTCGGATGTTGATGACGGCCCCACACACCTCCTGGCTGTACTCTTCAAAGCTCTCCCCAATGAGGCACAGCAGCTGGGGCCCAAAAGGGAGGTGACAAGGCCTCCAGCTGTGGCACAGGGACTGCACCCGCCATCCTTGAGACCACTGCCACCACGGGTACCATACCGGCCCTGCCCCCTCCTTTGGGGGACCCTCCCTACCAGCCCCTCCACTCACTGTCTCCAGCCACAGGCGGTCCAGCTCAGTGTGGCGCTGCTGTTTGGCAAGGCTGACCAGCCAGCGGCCACCCCGCTTATTCCTGGCGTCTTCCCACATGGGCTCGATGCCATCCTGGGAGGCCAGATGGCAAATCAACTGCCTCCCTTTGTTCAAAGGGAAGTGGGGGCCCAGCCACCTCCTCCGGTCCTGCTCCTGCCCCGCAGGAGATCTCCACAGGCTAGTTTCTGTCATGCCTCCATCCCCTCTGTACAGGCAAGTGCCACCACCAGCCATTCAACCCCCAGAGCCTCCTCTGAGCTCCGCCAGGCTCCAGAGCCCTAACATGTGTCATCTTTTACAGCCTTGCCCGTGTGTGTGCCTGTCTCCTTTATTGAACACAGCTCCTGAAGACAGGAGTTCAAGTGGGGGTAATTCACAAAGCCTCTGGGGCAACCCCCGTGTGGGCCATGCCAGACATCCCAAGCTCAGCTGGGCACAAAGTCACCTGGGAAATCTTTGAACACTGACACCAGGGTCGCACCTCACACATCGGCTGGTCGGCAGCTCCAGGGATTAGCCTAGACCTTGGTGAGCAGTGCCCATGACCAATTCTGGTGCCTATTCCTAGTTAAGGGACCAGGCCAGAAACCTGGGCTCCTTCTTTGTATCCCTACTTTCCAGACTCGCCCTTCAAGGTGCAGCGCAGGTCTGACACTTTGTCCAGGCTCCTCTACAGCATTTCCTCCTCCTGGCTCTGAGGGAGGCTGTCCTCAGACTCCACCCCCACACCCCCTGTGAGGGAGCAGTGCTGGGGAGAATCTGCGCCCCTGTGCCTGGGGGCGGGGAAGCAGAGCTTACCTTGAACAGGGCATAGTCACAGCCTGAAGAGAGCTTACTGGCCAGCTGGATGTGACTGTAAATCCTAGGAGAGTCCCCGACCCCAGGCTGAAAGTCCAGGCTTTTTAGGGCCTGGTTCCAACTGACCTCAGCCCCTCAACTTCTTACCAGACCCCACACTGCTTTCCACCGACCTTCCAGCCCCCAAGCCTTTGCTCACACTGACGCTCCGGCCTGGAATTCCATCCTTACCCGAACCTTCAAACCCCACGTCCTCCCTGGAGCCACCACCACCACCCACGCCCAGTGCAGGGTTGTTTCTGGTGCCCCTCCGGCTGGAGCCCAGGCCTTCTCCCCCAGCCCTAGGGTTATAACAGCTCCTTCCCGGTCCCTCACTTGATTCTCCATAGACACTGAAGCAGCCTAATTCTCGCTTTGTGGTCGAGACAAGCTCAGAGAGGGGACGGAACTTGCCCAGCGTCACAAATCATGAAGCAGCAGAGTCAGGGTCGGCTCCTCTCTTTCTTCCACTTCGCAGGCTTTCTCCCTGAGCCCCAAGAAGGTTTCCCCCGGCCTGGGCCCCCTGAAGAATCCACTGAGCCCCAGCCCTCACACAGGCTGCCAGGCCCCAGGGAGGACTGGGAGAGCTGTGTGGAAAGCAGCCCCCAGAGGGCGGGGGTCTGGGAAGGATCCTGCGCTCAGAGTCCCCGGGCCCCAGCCTCTTCCATGAAGGGCAGGCAGACACTCACGCCCAGAAGTCCTCCGCTGTGTCAAACGTGGTGACCAGTTGCAGGTTATCCTGCCAGGACCGGCTGCGGTCATTCTTGAAGAACCATAGGGCCCACCTGGAAGCAGAGAGCCCTTGTGCCCACCTCCAGCAGCACCTGGGCTGGCAGGGAAGTCTCACCCTTTCCAGGACAAACTGGGGGACAATATTTGGGGTACAGACCCCCCAAGGTGACTGGAGTCGGTTACCCTGGTGGGGCAGAGGGCCAGAGGAGAAGTGGAGGCACTTAACCCAGAATCCCAGTGGGGTTAAGGCTGGAAGGAACACAGGGCCCAAGTCTTAGGCCAGCTCTGGCCTTCCCCTGGAGAGAGGAAGGGGCTGTCCAAGGCCGCAGAGCAGGAGCCTGCCCTACCTGTTCTGCAGAAGGTGCAACTCCAGCTTGGCCTCCCCTGGGCCCTCACTGCGGGCCTTCCCTCTCAGGGGCAACAGAGTTGAGGGAGAGTTTGGAGCCTCCTCTCTCATTGATGCTCCTGCTGCTGCTGCTGCTGCCTCCCCTTCCTCTTGCTTTTTTTCCTCCTTCTCCCACCTTAGGACCTCACCCTCAGCCTCCCTGACCTGACAGAGAAAGGAGCCAGGGTGGGCTGTGCATTCCGGCCCTGGCTGCCCAGGCTGCAGGAGGGGCAGGCAGGTGGGCTTACAAGGCTGCTGGTAGCCATGCTGAAGCAGGAACAGCCAAGAGGGACCCCCAGCTGCCAGCTTTTAACCCATCAGCACCCCGCCCCTCAGTGCTCTGGGCAGGGGAAGGGGTGGAGCCAGCATGGGGCTGCTCAGAGGGAGGAGGGCTCACACTATTCCTTCGATCAACAGCCTTTAGCAAGCACTTTCTGCCTGCAGGCTAGGGGCTGCGGGACAGGTGTGACCAGGCAGGCTCAACCCCACCCACATCATGCGGCTGAGACGGGAAGGTAAGGGTCAATATTGGGGGGCTGCCCTTAGTAACACCGAATCCCACCGAGGGTGAGGTTTGAATTTAAAGCAGACGGTCTCAGAGATGGCAGAAGCAGTGACTGGCACAGCTGGGGCGAGGCCAGGTCAGAGACCTGATACGTGCATGGTGGCATGCCCTTGTTTCTCTCTGCTGCCACTCAACTCCTCGCTTGGCCACCAATGCCATCTGACACAGCATTCGTCTGGTCTCGGGAAGCATCTGAGTTTATGTTAAATATAATCATTCAGAAACTGGGAGATTGTATTAAAAATCCACATTTTTGGTTTCTCTTGAAAATTTGGGAAGGTCTGGCAACACTGGGGCCTCCACCTCACAGGTCCACAACCCACTGCAGCTGAGGCTGCCCTTCGGCGGAACAAATGAGGCTGCACATGGCCCCACCAGCCCACCACTCTCCTGGCCTGTTGCAGGATCCCCCACCTGGGCATGGACGGCAAGGGGTAGTGCCACACAATCGGGTTCAAGTCCTCCCTACCCTGACCTCAGCCAAGTTACTGAACCTCACTGAGTCTATTTCCCCATCTGTAAAATGGGAAGGTTAATGACACACAATTCAGAAGCTTATTGTATTAAATGATATAAAACACAAAAGGCCCGTAGAAGGAGGCCTGGCTCTGAGGTCAATAGACATCACCTGAGAACTACCCTGTTGGGAGTGGGGGCTGGGAACTGGAAAGGGAAAGGGGGAGTGGAGTGGGGTGGAAGCTCTGGCTCTGAACACCCTTTCCCAGCCTTCAACAGCACCGTTTTCTGCAGGGGCTGATGTCTCCCCAAGTTTCTTAAGGTTTCTCTCCCTCCCCCTGCCCACTTTTAGGGGCCCAGATCTCTAAGGCAGTGGTTCTCAACCTTGGCTGCACATTAGAATCGCCTGGGAATCTTTTTAAAATCCTGATTTCTGGGCCTCATCCTCCGGAAATTCTGTTTCTTTGTTACTAATGTTGTGGCCCCACCCCATCACAAAGAAACAGAATTTCCGGAGGATGAGGCCCAGAAATCAGGATTTTAAAAAGATTCCCAGGCGATTCTAATGTGCAGCCAAGGTTGAGAACCACCGCTCTAAGGGGACCAGTCCCTTCCCCTCCCCCACACCGAGGGAAGCCCATGACCACCTGGAGGCTGACAGGCTATATTTATTCAGCCCCCATCCCCTAATGCTCGGCATGTGCCAGGCATGGGGTTATGTGCTAGGAGGTGGTGAGTGCAAAAACTGGGTGGCCCCTGTTCTCTGATCTGCCAGGGAGCCAGACATCAGATAATCTCCCCAAGATCACCTTTGTAATCACCTCTGAAGGGAAGGAGTTGCAGGTGGAGGAAATGAAGTCCACCACCTGACCTGGGGCTTTAGAGCAGTTCTCGAGTGCGTGCGCCAGAATCACCTGCCGGTGATTGTGGTCTTGTTAAGCAGACTACATTTTAAGAACCACCAGCTCAGAGTTAGCTCACTGGAGAGGTGATAGAGTTAACTAGGTCGTGGAGGAGGGCATCTCAGGGGTGGAGCAGCATGCGAGAGGCTCTGGGGCAAAGGGAAATGGGTACTGGAAGATGAGAAGAAAGAACAGTGTGGCGAAGCCTGAAGGAGGAAGGGATGGTAAGTCTTGATCCCAGGAAAGTGGAGAGCATCGCTGAGTGCTTAAGCTGGGACAGATGTGCTGGGCAAGTAATCGCACGGGCTTTCCAGCAAGTTCTCTGTAGAAACACAAAACCACTCTTGGCACCAAGAGTGGGAGGAGATTTATGAGGATGCTAACATAGTTTTCCAAGTGGCAGGGAAGATGGAGAGAGCATGGGTTTAAGAGGTATTTAGAAGGAAGACTCAGTGGCGTTTAGTGATGGACAGGCTCTGGGCAGGTGAGGCGTGGTGTCCCAGCTACCTGTTGCTGCACAATAAACCACCCAAACTTAGTGGCTTAAAACAATAATCATTTCTTTCACTCACAGATCTGCAGTTTGGGTAGCCCTGAGTAGGGACAGTTCATCTCTATTCCAAAGCATTATCAGTTGGAGTGGCTTACAGGCTAGGGCTGGAGTCATCTGCTCACTCCCAGTGGGGCAGTTGATGCTGGCTGTCCACTGGAACCTCAGCTGAGGGTGTCTGCTTGCCAGGACAGCTCTGGTGGCCTCTCCATGTGGCTGCTTCCCTCCCTCACATTGGCTGGGTTCCCAGAGTGAGATTCCCAAGAGATGGGAAGCAGAAGCTACCAGTTTCCTAAAGCCTGGGCCCAAAAACTGGCACAGCATCATGTCCATGGTACTTGAGTCCCAGGGCCCACATGCAAGGATGATGACATAATCCTTGGAAGGAGTATGACATAATCCACTGGGAGGAGGGTTAAAGAATTTTGGATGGAGGAAGCACTGGAAGAAGGCCAGGAAACCTGTATTTCCCCCATCCATTTGATAAAGTATACCCTTATAAGCAATATTGAAGAATTTATATTTTTCTCCTTACCTAATCCCTCCAGAAGTTGGCAGCTCTTAATGAATATTATTATTTTCTTAGCAATATGTTTGTTTGCATGAATCCAATAAGAATCTGGTCTCTTTATAATAGGACACATAAAGCCAGTTTCCAACTGTAGTTTTATCAACCAAGACTTTGATTGGAATGTCATGATGGAGAGAAACATGCCTAGATTCTGGATGTCACCAGAAAGCTTTAAGGAATTAAGATTGACTTTGAAGCTGGTAAAATCCCCTTGGAGAAATGGCTAAAGACTAATTAAAGCTCAATCTGGAGATTCCTTATGAGACAGATTCCAGCAAAGCAGATTTTTAAAAGCCTGTATGATCAATTCTTCTTCTTGTGTTTATGCAAATAAGCAGGCCAAATTGAAACTGGACTTTCTGCAGTAAATAGTCTTGATTTGACCATCTCTGATTTTTTTAAAAAAGGAGGGTGATTTTAGTGGGGGGAGGGGGTCTGCATTTCAATTGAATCTATACTACACAGTTGTGGATATTATACTCTAGTTAAAGTTTACTTTTCACCAAAAAAACTGAATTGGATCCTGAATTTTTCTAGTTTTCTTAAATATTTGGGTGCAATTCTCCAAACTAATGTTTCCGTTTTCTCCCATCCTTTGACTTGGAATTACTGAGAATTACTGATGCAGGGTAAACCATACAAAATTTACATGAGCACCTGGTGGTATTCAAACTGCAGATAAGGAGTATCTATCAGACTGTAACAGTTTGCTTTCATTCCAGCAAAAGAAACTCTGAGCCTTACATCTAAATGTCTTCTCGACAGACAGCCTTACAAGTTGAGCAACTAGTTTATCATTTACTCTGATCATTAACCTTTGTTTCTTCTCTCCTGTTTTCATGGGCAAACCCCTGTGGGATACCTGATTGCCTGTTTACACAGCACAGGTCTCTTTGGGAGGCCATCTGCATCACTCACTGCCTCCTAAAATGAGATTTAGCAATTTAACTGAACTGACTTTTTTTTTCAGAACTAAATAACTGAGTCTATGTAATATGAAGCAACCTACCAACTTCACTTTATATCAACCTTTATTACTTAAAAGTGTGGGTCTGCAGAAACCAAAGTTCTGCCTCCTTGAAACTGCTTTCCCTATTCTGGCCAAGAGGTTCAGATGAAAAATAAATAAATAAACTTACTTCAGGAAAAAGATCTTAAGGTGTTTCCCTTACCTAATTTAAATTAAATATAGTGAACAAAAGGGCTTCAGGCAGATGACACACCTTCATCCAGGGAAGCCCGTCCACCAATACTGTAAAGTCGGTCCCTCCCTCTATCACCTGGTTCTTACCTCTCCTCAGACCGTAAATAACTATAATTCTCCTCCTCATTTTCAGACCATGCTTTTTCACTTTCTTGTCAAATTTGTCACTTCTGGGATACAATTCCATATCAAGATGATAACGCTTCATGGATTCAGCCTATGCCTACTTCAAAAGAATCAGCTAATAGGCTCTCTGTTCCAGTCTCAGATCCCATTCCCTTGTCCCCCTTAGATCATGCATGGAGACACTTCCATACCATCTAGAGCAGCGGTTCTCAACCTGCGGGTCGCGACCCCTTTGGGGGTCGAATGACCCTTTCACAGGGGTCACCTAAGACCATCAGAAAACACATATATAATTACATATTGTTTTTGTGATTCATCACTATGCTTTAATTATGTTCAATTTGTAACAATGAAATTGGGGGTCACCACAACATGAGGAACTGTATTAAAGGGTCACGGCATTAGAAAGGTTGAGAACCACTGATCTAGAGGCAGATACCACAGCCTTTGTCAGCAGGAAGCAGTTACTGAAGACAGACCATCCTCCCTCATCACCCCTAAAAAAATTCAGGGATGGCAGTCTCTGAGGGGGGAATGAGCAGGCCAGTAAGCCTGGAATAGGGAAACTGAGATAGATCGTTAAATGGCTGAGCAGTTTACAGCCATTTAGTAAATCACAAAATCCTATCTTCCGTAACCAAGGACACTTACGGGTAAATGGTTACACTTCTCCTCCCCAACTAGAGGGTAAATGGCTTAAATCACCCTATTCAGGGAAATAGAAAGCAGAAATCCAATGGTGTACTGGGCTAGTTTGGACCAGCTGGTGAGAACAAATATTAAAGTTTCAGGAATTTTATTAGCCATTTATAAAAGCCATGCCCTGGCTTGGTTGAGCATCATCCTGTACACCAAATGGATGTAGGATTCCCAGTCAAGGGCACATTGGTGGGGTGTGTGCAGAAGGCAGCCAATCTTTGCTCTCACATTGATGTTTCTCTCTGTTCCTGTCCCTTCCTTTCTATCTAAAAACAATAAACTATTCTTTAAAATCCATTATTAAAAATAATATAAACTTTTAATGATATAAATTATGTTAAAAACAAATATAATAAGCATATAAAACAAATATAATCCTCCTATATAATAAAAGAGAAACATGCAAATTAACCATCCCTCCACTACACTCAAGCTACGCCCACAAACCAATCAGGAGCAAGTATGCAAATTAACCCAACTAAGATGGTGGTGGCCACAGAGCTGGAGTGAGCAGGAGGCTTGGTTGCCCCTGGTGATGGAGGAAGCCAAGCTTCCTGCCTGCCCTGGCCGGCCCTGGGCTCAGCTCAAGGCTACAAAGTTTCAATTATAGAAGATAAACCCCAGAAAAAAAGAAAAAAAGGAGAGGCTGGGAGCTTGGGTCACCAGGGGGCATGGCCAGCCTGAAAACGGCCATCAGCCCCTCTCCCAGGCTGGCCAGGCACCCCAGCGGGACCCCCACCCTGATCCAGGACACCCTTCAGGGCAAACCAGCCAGCCCCTACCCGTGCACCAGGCTTCTATCCTATATAATAAAAGGGTTATATGAAAATTGACCCTAACAGCACAACGACTGGAAATGACTGGTCACTATGACACACACTGACCACCAGGGGACAGACGCTCAATGTAGGGGGAGCTCTGCTCAGCCACAAGCCAGGCTGATGGCTGCCAGCACAGCGTTGGTGGCGGGAGCCTCTCCTGCCTCCTCAGCAGCACTAAGGATGTCCGACTGCAGCTTAGGCCTGCTTCCCGCTGGCAAGTGGACATCCCCCAAGGGCTTCCGGGCTGCCAGAGGGATGTCTGACTGCCAGCTTAGGCCCAATCACCCGGGGAGCAGGCCTAAGCCAACAGGTGGACATCCCCCGAGGGGTCCCAGACTGTGAGAGGGCACAGGCCAGGCTGAGGGACCCCCCTGAGTGCACAAAGTTTTGTGCACTGAACCTCTAGTAACATAATAAAAACAAATATAATAAAAACAAATTTCTAATTATTTTACTATTATCTATGCTCTTAAGATCATTTTTTTTAAATATATTTTATTGACTTTTTACAGAGAGGAAGAGAGAGGAATAGAGAGTTAGAAACATCAATGAGAGAGAAACATTGATCAGCTGCCTCCTGCACACCCCCTACTGGGAATATGCCCGCAACCAAGGTACATGCCCTTGACCGGAATCGAACCTGGGACCTTTCAGTCCGAAGGCCGATTCTCTATGCCCTGAACCAAACCGTTTAGGGCTTAAGATCATTTTTTAATCTATTTTATCTGATGGTGAAAATACAGCATATCTCTTCCCAATTCTCTGTTCAGCGACACCATATTGAAAACTTGAAATTAATCATGGTAGGAGAATTTACACCATGGGTATCAGCAAACTACAGTTCAAGGTACTCCCCTTCTTGGATAGCCGTGTGTTAAAAGTTCCTCATACACCATGGCCCAGATCTATACCTGAAGCCAGCCTGGAGTGAATGCCTGAGCTCCGGGCTGACAGCCTGCTGTCTGCTGGACACCTCCTCTAGTTTGTCTACAGGCACCGCACATTTGGCATGCCCCAAACAAGCTCATCACTCCCCCCAGTACTGCTCCACCCCCTCAATGTCTATTTCATTTTGCAGCAGCATTAATCACCCTTGTGTCCAAGCCAGAAGCTGGGAATCTTCCTAGACTCATCCCTCTCCCTCTTCCCCAGCACCTGATAAGTTACCTCCTGAATGATACCTAAATTACACACACTCACACACACACACACACACTCACACATACACACATACACACACACACACACACACACACATACACACACACAATCACACACACACACTCACACTCACACACACACACACACACACACACACACACACACACACTGGCTTTGTCATCCTTCCTGTGGATTCTGCCTCAGCCTCCTCCCTGATCTTGCTGCTTCTAGCCATGTCCCCCTCCAACCCACCCTAATTTGGCTCTATAAAATGAAAATCTCATGTAGGTCTCTCTTGTGCTTAAAATCCTGCAGTGACTTCCCAGTTCTGGAAGCACAGACACCTTTCATCTGGTCTTCTTTCTCTCCTCTTCCTCCTCTCCTCTCTCCTGCGGGGTCCTTCCTCATCATATACTCGGACATTTAAGGGTTTTTAGTCATGAATCACAGAAATCACTTCTGGCTGATTTAAGCAGATGAGTTTATTAACCAATACTGGGCAGCTCAGAAACTCTCTGGGAAGGCCAGAGAACTCTCCCTGGAGACCACTCAGCCTGGAATGATGCCCCAGTGCACACTGGCAAGCAGGCCCAGGAAGACTCCCCTGATGCTCTGGCTGGGCTGTCCCGCTGGATGCTCCCAGAAGCAACGTCACTGTTACAGGTAGTCCCTGGCAGGAGCTGCCACCACCACCACCTGTCCTCACAGAGCAGGCCCCTCATTCCTATTGCTCTGGCACTAGCTTCAGGTTCAGAGTCTGGGGATGAGGTCATACGCAGGTCCTGGCTGCAAGGAAGGCTGGGGAAGCACTGGGAGTGCCTAAAGGAGGAGGTGGGCTCTGCCTCAGAAGGTGGGGATTCCCCAAACATAGGAAGGGGGCAATTTTAATGCTGAAAGGCCAGTGATAATGAGATATCCCCTGTGCTAGTTCTTAAAATTATGCAAGTAAAATACTATTCAAGGTAAAATAATCAAAGGTGATGAAATATAAAAGCTTCTCTCTAAGTCCTCTCAGGGAAAGAAGGGGCAACTACTGTTAATGGTTTTATTAAAAGTCCTTGCAGCCTGGCCAGCATGGCTCAGTGGTTGAGCATCGACCTATGAACCAGGAGGTCACAGTTCGATTCCCGGTCTGGGCACATGCCTTGGTTGCAGGCTCGATCCCCAGTGTGGGGTGTGCAGGAGGCAGCTGATCCATGAGTCTCTCTCATCATTGATGTTTCTATCTTCCTCTTCCTTCCTCTCTGAAATCAATAAAAATATTTTTTCAAAAAAAGTCCTTGCAGATGTGTTCTTTGTATATTCAGATATGAGTACGTCTGTATAGATTTGTATATAAGGTATCTTTATAATGAATATAGCATGTGATATATATAATTTTCTATGTAATCAAAATTGGCTTGGCCCACACCTTACAGTTTGGCACCTGTGTCAGTTCACATGGGCCTGGCAAATCCTTTCTAGGTAACATAGCATTTCACCCAGTGGATATACCGCAATTACCTAGCCAGTCCTCTACAGATATACATACAGGTTCTTTTCAGTTTTTTGCTACAAGAAGCCATGCTGCAGTGACTATCCTTGCACACATGTCTTTGTGTGCTTGTGTGAGTAGAGATCCGAGGGATACATTCCTGGAAGGGGGAACTGTTGGCTCGAAAGGAGCATGCATTTCTGTCTTTGGTAAACATTGCCAAATTGCCTTCCAAAAAGCATGCGCCAACTTTCAGCTCTACCAGCGGCCTGTGAACATTCCTCCCCACCCCCCAGGCCCTGAACACACTGGCTACTAGCTGCCCCCTCATCACCTGTCACTTACATACCCTGTGTTTCTAGCCATAGTGCTTCTGCCCAGGCTGTACCCACTGACTAACATTCTCTTCCTTGTCTGTCAGATGAAATCTTACCTCACCCATGAGCTTAGATGTCACCTCCTCTGTCTGTTCAGCTTTCCATGGCTGCCCTACGCTGTCAGAGTCCCTTCCTCTGGGATCCCAGCCTCTTGGGCATAATTCTGTCATAGCAGTGAAGGCGCGTGTGTGGCTGGAATTCTATGACCATTTTGACAATCCCCACCATAACCATACAACAAGTCCATCTCCTCTCCCTTACTCCTGGCTCTCCAGCTGCACTGCCTTTTATCTGAAGTATAGTCCTGCCTCCGGACCTTTGCACCTGCAGTTCCCTCTCTATGGATCCTGCCTTCACCCATCCTGGCCTTGGTGCCTTTGCCAGGGTCTGAGCATCCGTTCACCTCCTCACAGAGGTCTTCCCTGACCACCATCTCAAGCATCCCTCCTCTAGTCACTCCGTTACATCACCTTTTATTATCTTCATCACACTTCTCACGAGCTGAAATTGGCTTAAATTGTCCCGTGCCCCATCTCTACACACACACACACACACACACACACACACCCACACACACACACACACACACAGTTATAAGCTCCTCGAGTGCAGGAACCTTGTTTTCCGTTCCTACTGTCTCCAGCCTGGCGCCTGTGTAAACGCTCAGTAAACGTCCTTTGAATAAACCATCTGTATTTTGCAGAAGAGGAAACATTCAGAAAGGAGAGCTGAGTAGCCCAGGGCCCCAGAGTTAATTTTTAAAAGCACAGCCGAGATTCAAAGCCATCTGAGCTCCCAATGGGTTCTGTTTCTTCCCTACTCTTAGCACGCTGCATTGTCTCCCCATGAGACTGGGCTCTTGGGGGCCGGACGCGAGCCTGACGCCCCGAGGTCCCCCACAGCACGTCCCAGGCTCCGCCTGGGAGGCCAGCGGGCTCTGAGGAGATGTCACCCTCCCCGCCCCCTTGTCAGTCAGGCCGAGGGGGCGGCGCGCTGAGCTCAGAGCTGCCGCAGCGCAGGAGCCGGAGCCGGAGCGCGAGCAAGTGGGGCTCTCGGCGCGAGCGGCGGCAGGCGGCGCACCCCAGGCCCGAGCACTGCTGCGCCCGGCTCAGGTCCTGTGCTCCGCCTGCTGCAGACCGACCTCAGCGCCTTGCCACGGCCCGATCCCCCCGCTGGCCCCGAGCCCACCCCGGCCCGGCCTACCCGAGCCTCTGCGTCTTCCCGCCGCAGCCGCTCCAGTCCCAGCTCGGCCCCGCATCCAGGTGAGGCGGCCGCGCTCTGGGAGCGGAGACCCGGAAAGGACTGGGGATGGAGAGGGGAGTAGGTGGACCGGGTGAAATGGGGAAGGGGCTGGAGAACGGAGAAGGGGCGCCGGTGGGCGCCTCTCCCTGTGCAGCCCGGGGCATGTGTGTCTGCTGCTCAGTGTCTGCAGCCGCCTGGGTGGCCGTGTAGCCGTGCGCCCGCGCCCGTGTGTCCGTGCGTGTCGGAGTGCCCGCGCGCGGTAGAACGCCTGGGTGTCCTGTATGTGCACGTGAGCGTGTCCGTGGAGTATTTCTGTGTGCATGCACGGCCGGGTGGCATGTGTGTGTACAGTTAGGCGCAGAGCCGGCACTCCGGTTCCGCGGGGCTGCAGCTTGCGGGTTCCCGGGAAACCGAGGCGGGGGCCCCTCCCGCGTCCCGGGGTTTCAAGGACGCTGGGACTCGCCACTGCCCGGTGGCCTCGCGCGGGGGACAGGGAACGGCGGGAGGGGGTCCGAGCCGGAAGCGCGCCCGGGTCTCAGGAGGGCGGGGAGCGTCCCCACCGCGTCCCTCGGGCAGCGCTGGGGTGAGGGTGCAGGACCAGCGCCCCGTGCCGTGTGTTCGCCCACCCTAGGCCGCCAGGATGGACGTGTTCATGAAGGGCCTGTCCATGGCCAAGGAGGGCGTCGTGGCCGCCGCGGAGAAAACCAAGCAGGGGGTCACGGAGGCGGCGGAGAAGACCAAGGAGGGAGTCCTCTACGTCGGTGGGCGAGGGGCGAGGGGCGGGGCTGCGGGAGGCCGGGGGTCGCCGGGGAGAGGGCTTGGGCACTTCCAGGGGGTGGGGGTCTGCGCAGGAGAGTGAGTCAGCAGATGGAGCGGGGTCCGCAGGGTCACTGGGGACACAGCCGACGGGAGGGGGGATGGGAGCCAGGGTTGGTGAGGGTGGGATTCAGCTGCAAGGCCAGAGATGAGCGAGTGATCAAAGCAGGTCGTCTTCCTTTTCTCCTCCTCCTCCTTCTTCTTCCCATTAATAGTTACCTGGTTTTGAGTCCTTTCTCTCGGCCAAGTGCTGTGTGAAATGCCATAGCACCTATTCCCTCATTTAATTCTCCTGCCCATTCCACAGACCAGGGCTGGCCTCCCCAGAGGTTTCACTGTCTTGCTCAAGGTCACACAAGCTGGACTGCAAGGCCCCACCCCTCCCCTGCTGCCTCCCTCCTATATTTTTGGGACTCCCTCCAGCCCTCCTCCCCACCTACTGCCACCTGAGTTGCTCTCCGTGCCTCCCAGTGCCTGTAGTTCCACCAGTGCCATCTCTCCTCCTGGTCCCCCTCCTCGCAGTTGCCAGCCGGCATCAGGACAAAGGCCAAGTGGCTAAATCTCTCACCCTAGATTCGAGAGAGGAGGGAACCTGCAGCATCGTTCGTATAAAGGCAGGCAAGGCCCAGAAACTGGCATGTACTGAACCCAACCTATGATTCGGGCCTTTCTTGTGTGCAGTGGGTAGAATGTCTCCTGTGCAGGCGGAAGGGGGCTGCTTTTGGCTTTGTGGTCATTTGGAAAATACTTGTTGACTACCTACTATGTGCCAGCCATTTCATGGCTCCCGGAGACATAACAGTGGACAAGAGAGCCAAAGGCGCCTTCTCTCCTGATGGTGACACAGGAGTGGGATTTGACAGGGGGCTGGGGCGGGGGCCACTTTGGTAGGGGGAGGGGGGGTCGAAGAGGGTGACATTGGAGCTGAGTCCTGAGAATAAGGAGCCAAGATGGGGTTGGCAGAGGCTAGAGAGCAAAGGGAATGGTTGGTGAGCGAGAGCTGGTTCATGAAGGGCCCTTGGAGACCAGGGCAAAGCATTATAGTTGCCACAAGAGATTAGAAGATAGGGACTGACAGGATCTGATTTCAGTTTGGAAAGGCCCCAGCGACCTCTGGGGACAGAACAAGCCCAGGATGTCCCCTGGAAGGTAGTGTGGCCGCCAAGCAAGGGCGGCTAGGGCAGCGGTGATGGAGTCGGGGAAAAGGCTTGAGCCCACACCTACTGGAACCCATTCTGGCCTCCCTCCTGCCTCCTCCCTCTGCACAGGAGCCACCCATGACTCCCAGTTCCTACCCTGTTAAGCGTCAGCTCCCTGTAGCCTGACATGGTCCCGCCTCAGCCTATGTTCCCAGCTTTGTTTCTCACCATCCCCATCCCCATCTCTGCAGGCACACGGACCACCTCGATGTGCTTCCTGCGGGCCCCAGATGCACACCTCTCTGTGCCCTGCCTGCATGCTTCCCTGTGCTTAGAGTACCCTCTCCAGTCTCCCTTCTGCACATCCACCTGCTCCCCATCTGTCAAGCCCAGGCAATGCCCTCTCCCCGATCACATACCCCTGGAGGTTGGAGGCCCTCTCCCCACTGCTTGAGGTCCTGAGCACCAAATCTGCTCTCCTCGTACCCCATCCAACAGTGAGTGATTGGCCGGGGGCTGGGCACAGAGCAGGTGCCTAAAAAGGTTTCTGGGAGGAAGGAATGGGTACACAGGCAGCTGTCCCCTGTCCCTGGGTATTGCTGGCTTTAGATGTGAGAATCCTGTCTTCTCACACCTGCCCCCCCCCCTCCCAGGGGTGTCAGTCCGCCCACACTCTCATTTCTGGGTCTCTCAGCTGTTGTCTGAGTTGCCAAACCCTCAGGATAGGAGATTCCTCTCTCCCTGGAGGGCTCCCCTCACTTCAGATCAGCCCCCTTTGCCTTTCCTAGCAGCCCCACATTTTGCTGTGACCAAGTTGCCGCTCTCCTGGGAAGACCCAGCCCTGCCATAGGTGTCAGTCACAACCTGCTCATCACCCATTGACCCATCAGGCACCTAAGACACTCCACTCCGGCCAGAAGGAGGAATCTGTACCCTTGTTAGGAGTAAAGAGTCTTTAGGAGAAATGGAGTAGGTGGAGGTCATATGGCAGCATCCATAGGTAGGATGTGGGCAGTCATGCACCAGGGGCACCTTTCGAAATACATAGCCAGTTTGCCCCCCAGCCCCACCCTCATCTGCTTCCCTTCCCCCCCCAACCCCCCAACCCCCACCCGAGAATTAAATGAACTGGTGCTTTGTACAGTGCTGGTGCTCAAACAACAGCCCCCTGAGGGTGCAGGTATCAGGGCAGGTAGGGGTGGTGAGGAACAGACAGCGGGCAGAACTGATGCCCTAAGAAAGTAGGTGTGGGGAGCTCAGTGCAGCGATGAGGGGGGACTTGTAGGATTTTGAAGCCCAAGGAGGCAGTGATGGGGCCAGGATGCCCATGCCAAGCAGGTCCCTCTGCCCATTGTGTAACCGCTGTGCTTTCCAGAGTCTCTGACCCTCAGCTCACAGCCCTTAAATGTGCCCCTTTATCTTCCTGCAGGAAACAAGACCCGAGAAGGGGTGGTACAAGGAGTCACCTCAGGTACCAGCCCAGCCCTGGCACAGCCCCTTTCCCTCCCCAAGCCTGAGAGCTGCCTGATTCCAGAGGGTGGGGATAGGGGTGGTAGAAAAGGGCACACCCAAGGATTTAGGGGGTGCTCCATGGGAAAGGCAGGTCCCAGGTCACTACAGGGGAGGGGGCACCTATGTCTCCTTCACCTTGACCCCCAAACTCCTTCTCTAACCCTCTCCCCACTCTAGTGGCTGAGAAAACCAAGGAGCAGGCGTCACATCTGGGAGGAGCTATGTTCTCTGGGGCTGGGAACATCGCAGCAGCCACAGGCCTGATGAAGAAGGAGGAATTCCCCACTGATCTGAAGGTGAGCAGTCCTTCCACCACACACATGAATGACTACAAATGTACACACGTGCCCATCAACCTGCCACCAGGCTCCCTGCCATCCCAGCCAGCCACCTTACCTCGCCTTCTGCAGGACCCTGTTAGAGAGTCTAGGGGTGTATAGGTGTGGGGCTCCCTGTGACCATGACCCAGATCTGGCTGTGTACATGTATCCTGCTTGCAAGTGTGACCTGGACCACTCCTGGCCACGTCTGCAAGTGTCATTGATTGTTCATTCATTTCTTTTCATTCAACAAGTATTTATACCAGAGAGGAATTGTTCTGGGGATTACTGCAATGAATAGTTACCTGCACTCAAGGACCTGACATTTCAGTGATAGAAGACAGTAAAAAGCCAATCAATAAGATTATTTCCGACAGGGATAAATGCTATGAAGAAAAGACAACAGGGTGATAGGATAGATAGGCAAGGGATGCGGGGCTGCTGTAGCTAAGAGGGCTTCTCTGAGGAGGTGACATTTGAGCTGACACCCAAGGGATGAGGCAAGCCAAGTAGGGAATGTATTTCAGGCAGTAGCAGCAGTTCATGCATAGGCCCTGAGACAGGCAGGAGCAGGTGAGGTCCAGGTGAGAGCGGGAAGGGGGAGTTGTGTGTCACACGTTTGTGCAGGCATGTCCCCCCAGGTAGTGGCGGTGGCTATCCGTGTGTGCATAAGACAGGTGCCTGCAGGAGGACACTCTGCAGAATAAGCGTTGTGAGCTCTGGAACCTCACAGAGCTGGATCTGAATCCCAGCTCCACTACTTCCTGACTGTGTGACCATGGGCAGGTCTCGTCATGTCTCTGAGCCTGAATCTTTGACTGTAAGATGGGAGAGGAACACAATAGGGCTCTTATATAGATTAGAGTTAACATAGATCAGAGGTCCTCAACACGGAAGCATGCACGAGAATCACCAGAAGGCCAAGTTAAAATACAGACTGTTGGCCCCAACCCTAGAATTTCTGCCCCGGTAGGTCTGAGGTGGGGCCTGATAATTTTCATTTCTAACAAGAACCCAGGTGATACTGATGCTGCAGGTTCAGAGACCCCACCGTGAGAAGCACTGGTGAACAGACAGGCTTGCATACAGTGAGTGCTCAGTAAGACACAGTGGCCCCATGACCCTGTGAGCGGTCTGTGTCTGACCCCAGGGGCTCTGTGAGCACAGGTGTGCATGGAAGTGTACCATGCACTCTGTATTGCACTCTGGGCCCATATGTTTGCACAGACGTTCATCCCCCTGTGGGATGATGCATGTCTGTCCACCTACAGGGGCAGACTCTGCTTCTGGAGGGCGAAGGGGGGCTCCTTCCGCACCTGGTTTGGGAAGTCAGTGTGCATTCCACGTGAGTGTATCCATCAGGCTGAGGGAGACCCCACCCCATTCTCCACTGCAGACACTTGCACAGTTGGTTCCTTCCGCTTCACGTCCTGCCCATGCATTTTACCAACTGTAAGGCCTCTCATTTCTTATTATTTCATTTCCAGTGATTGCTCCCATTCATTGACCTATTCTATGTGCAGGCACTGCTCTAGACGTGTTACATAGAGGAGTTAATTGACTCTTCACAATGTTCCTCTGTGGAAGGCACCACAATTAGCCCATTCTACAGATGCAGGAACTGAGGCTCAAAAGAAGTGAAGTGACTTGCCCAAGACCCCATGCGTGCCTGCCTCCCTGAGAAAGTGGTTGGGAAGATAAGCTCAGGTCCATATCACTGGAGTCACTTGATGCCAACTGGTGCTAGGACCTCTGCTGGGGGCTGGGGTGCAAGAGAGCGGCAGGTCTGGGCTGTTTGTGAGGGGCATTTGCACAGAACCATCTTTCTCTGGCCGCCTACCTCCTACCAGCACCTCGAGCCTCCTCTCCCAAGAAAGCACAAGATCATAGATTTACAATCCAAACCACAGCCCTCAGGGGCCACCCAGCATGGGGGAACCTGGGCGAGCCCAGCGTGCGTGCTCCTGAGTGTGTCCCATCCCAGCCTGCTCACAGACGGCATCATGGAAGCCTCCTGTACTCCTACAGAGCAGTCACCATCCCACTTCACCCCGAGGCTGCTGAGATCAGCGGTGAAGTGACATCCCTGATGCCAGACGAGGAAACACCCTCACGTTAGCAGCACCCAGATCAAGACTCAGAACACCAGCCCTTCAGGAGGCCCACCTTCTACCCCTTTCCAGTCCTTACCACCAGGGCCAAGACTAGGGTGAGATGAGGGAGGTATCTGGGGCACATAATTTAAGGGGTGCACTCATTCTGGGGCCTCATTTCCATGGTGCTGAGAATGGGTGCCTTCTCAACACTTGCACCCTCAGCACCTCACTCTCCCACCTGCAGCCTGGCCCTGCCTCCCTGTCCATGCTTCCTGCCTTCTGGCATCACAAATTAGCCGGGTGTTTTTAACATCCTGTAAATGTTATCCTTAAGTAGATGCTCTTCTGTTCCCAGCTTCTTCCACTCAGCAGGAAGCTGCGCTATGTACTATTGGTCTCCATATTTATTGTGCGGAATCCATGTGTGATGAAACCACAAGGCACACATCCTTCTACTCTTACTGGACTTCTGAATTGTTTCCAAGCAATGTGCTTGAGCTGGAATTTTTTAAAATTGATTTCAGAGACAGGAAGAGAGAGAAACATTGATGTGACAGAGTAATACCAATCGGTTGCCTCCTGAATGTGCTGACCAGGGATCAAACCCAAAACTTACCCTGACTGGGAATCGAACCCTCCACCATTTGGTGTACGGGACAACACTCCACCCAACTGAGCTACACCGGCCAGGGCTCAAGTTGGGATTTTTAACACCATGTTTCTTTCCTGGATTCTGATTGTAGCTGGGTGACTAAACTAACATTTCTCCACCTCCTGGGCCTTGGTATATCCATCTGGACACTGAGGGGAATGAGTCAGGTCAAGAGCTGTGAACTCCTTTGCCCAGGGGGTCCACCTAGACAGGTAATTCGAAGGAGCTGAAGCTGCTTGGATGGAGTCGGTGCAACTACCGTGCACCGTGATCTGTCTCAATGTCAGCCCTTCAGGATCCCAAGAGTCTTATCTCCACCCAGGAGGGAGGGACAGTGGTACTTGTGGGAGTGGGAGAGGTGGTGTGCCCTCCTCCCTACAGGTTCCCCAGGGGTCCAGGTGTGTGCCGGCCCACGTGGCCTTGTGTAGCCGTACATTGGACCCCAGGTTATTGTGTGTGCAGCGAGCTCCATCCCATGTTTGTGCACGTACTGTGCTCAAACCTGCAAGTGGCTGGCCATGTGTCTGGCAGCCCCTCGTTTGCATGCCTACTGGTCTGCACCAGGCTGGGGAGCAGGTGCAGGGGGAAGGGACTAGAGTCTTAGCTCACACATCCAAGCAACACCACTGAGCTGTTGCTTCCAGCTTATCTTAAAATAGCAACAGCTGAAGAAACCAGGCCACACAGGGCCGCGGGGGAGGGATGGATGGAAGGTGGCAGGGGAATGGCTCAGAGCCCCTACCCAGCCCATCTGTGAGCCTCCATCTCCAGCCAGAAGAGCCTCCAGGGTTATCTCTGGGGTCCCAATGCCCCACACAGAGCCTGACGCAAGCGGGTAGGGATAAATAGGTGACTGTGTGTGCTCTCTTCCCATCCCAATCAGTGAAAATGATGGAAGTGCAGGCATCTGCCAGGTGCTGGGGAGAAGGGTATGGCGAGCCCTGCTCCACTCCCCACCCCCAGCTTCAAGCAGGATTTGGAGGGATTTCACTTCTCGTGCATTCATCCCACTTCCAAATAAGCAATTTAATTAGAAATTCTGGTTGCACTGCCAACAAAGCCTCACCTTCCCCTAATCAGCTAAGGGCTCCCCAGGGTAGGAATTTGGGGGGCATCCCTGGCTGCCCTCACAGGCCCTGTCCCTTCTCTGCCTGCAGCCTGAGGAAGTGGCCCAGGAAGCTGCGGAGGAGTCACTGATAGAGCCCCTGATGGAGCCAGAAGGAGTGAGCTATGAGGAATCGCCCCAGGTGAGGGGTAGCAGGGCTGGGTGGGGCTTTGGGCATCCCGGAGGATAGCTGCCATCCCCAGCTGGGGTGGGAGGTCCCTGGTAGGGTAGGGTTGGGCCAGAGAGCTTCAGATCCCCATTACCTGGAACCCAGGTCCCCATAGGTGTTAGCATGGAGGGAGGACAGATGGGGTGTAGCACTGGGCCCCAGGGAACCCTGCTAGGACTGGCCAGGCTGTTTCCAACTCGCAAGTTCCTTGCCTGGGGGGGCGGGGAGGGGGGGCAGTTCACTGTTCCTCCTTAACAGGGAGAGGTCTCAGGCCCAGAGCCTGGCCACCTGGTTCCCAACCCCTTCCTCTTTTGCTCTTTTCCACTTCACCCCAATCCCTCTGATGCAGGAGGAGTATCAGGAGTATGAGCCAGAGGCCTAAGGGGCCAGGAGGGCCCCCCACCAGCAGCACAATTCTTTCCTGGTCCCTGCCTCACCTCCCAGAGCCAGGGCTGTCCTTCAACCCCTGCTCCCCAAATACGAGATCTTCCTACACTCCAAGGCGCCCCCTCGGAGCCTGTGTTAGTATCTGTCCATCTGTCTGTCCTACCTGCCAGCATCCAACCCTGGGGCGTGGACAGGGCCTGGCCTGCAGACGACAAGGGCAGCCTCGCCGCCCCACCTGTGTTGCCCTGCCCGCCCCATCCTGTCCAGTGTCTGCGCGGATGTAGCATGTTCTATGTGTTTTTAAACCAAGATCCGAAAGCGACGGCGCCCTACCCCACCCAACAGAGGCTCTCGGAGAGACCCCTCCAGAATCCCCCACTCCACTCCCACATCGACCCCAAAACCTTTTTTTTTTTTTTACCAAAACCAGGAGTCAGGCTGTGCCATACCCCTCCCCCAGCCGGTCCGGTCCAAGCGCGGGCGTTGTGTGTCGTGATTGTGGCATGGAGAGTCCCCCAGCCCCTGTGTGAGCGTGTTCTGGGCGGGCGGCCCAGCCGCCCCCGACATGTCCGTGAATAAAGTCAACCTGTCTGTAGCCGGCGCCACACGGGCAGGGCTGGGCGCCAGATGGGGGTGGCTGACGGACTTCCAAGTCTCAACCTGCCCCACTCCCCTCTTTGGGGCCCGGCAACCTCGGCCCAGGTGTGAGACTGACAACCTCGGACCTCCACTTCTCAACCTCCCACCCTCCCGGTGGAATGATCTGGGGAGAGGGTTCTCCCGGGCGGGGACCAGCAGTTGGCTGGGAGGCGGGAGGCGGCCTCGGGAGCCACCTGCTGGGCGGTGAGGCGCCTGCTGCGGGTTAAGGGAGAACGGGAGCCCCGCGCCGCCGCAGCGCAGGGTGGATGGGCTCACACCTCGCCCCACACGCAGCACAGGCGCGCGGACCTGCGTGCGCGCGGGCCGGAGTGTCCGCTCCCGGGCAGGCGCTCCCGCGCGGACACGTGCACACTCACAGTTGCACGCGCGCCGCGAAGTCCTCGGAAACCTGCCGCGCGGGCACTGAAAGACGATGTTGTGCGCCGACAGCCCTCTCTCCTCCCCGGAGCGTTTACACGCGCACACACCTGCGCGCGCGCGCACCTGCCCAAAGCAGACACACCCATCCAAGGGGACGGGAGATGGGCAGCTGTCTCCGGAGGAACAGCTCGGGCTTCACCCCTCCCGGAAGGGCGCCCAGAGGTTTGCGATCTGGGCTGAGGTGGGCGAGGGTCTGCAGAAATCTGGAAGCCGGCCAGCCCACTCGAACAGACCAGCATCGACATTGGAGGGAACCCCACGCCACCTCGGTAAGGGAAAGACGGGGCGGAGACACCTCGTTGCTGCGCAGAGGTCCCGCCTCCGTCAAGGCGAAGGAGCCGCTCTCATTGGCTCAGAAGGTGCACCCGCGCCGAGGCCCCGCCCCCATCGATGCGCCGCTCTCTCAGCCATGGAGCTCCTTTATTTCATCCCCACTGCAGCCCGGCCCGACCCAGGCGGAACCCCCGCTTTTCCTTGCCGCTGGACCCCCAACCTCGTCTGCGTAAGAGCTCACCCCCTTCTCTGCCTGTTCCGACATCCTTTCGGACTCCAGCCCTGGGCTGGAAGGAGCTTGACCAATTCAGTCACCCACCCAAGTGTTAGCGCTGCCCTTTCCCCGAGGGGGTGGGGGCTGGGAGGGTGCCAGGCTCGGGAGCTCCTTGAGCATTGCGGGCGGTCCGCCCACTGGGGTCACCTTGGCCTGTAGTGTACCGAGCCTTTGCTTGCGGAAGTCGGAGGCGGCTGGCAGATGTGTGTGTAGTGAGAACAAACTGGTGGGCTTGGCTTCTCTGACTCCGTGTGTGGGTGCCAGGATCTCCACGCCCCTTTTGACTGAATTAGGACACTATTTACAACCCACAGTACGCAGGGATTGCAAATTCCTGGCCCTCAGTTTGAATTTGGCATATAGAGATGCTTAATTTGCTAGCACAAGGTTTAATTTTTTTTTTATGTGATTGCAGTTGGCAATAGCCCCTTTCTCTCCCTGTTCACTCATTTTCATGAGCTGCCTGCTAAACAATTTGAGTTTGCCACCTCCTCTCCAGATACCAGCACCGGATCCCCAGTTTTAGATGCCAGAACAAGGTTTGCCATCTGGCTTAGGGTGGGGGTGGGTTATTCTTCCTTCTCCGTTGCCAAGCCACGCACCTGGTTTTCTGAGCCTGGTTTCTAGTCAGAGACCAAAGTTGTCTTCCGCCAGGATCACTTTTAAATTGTATTCCAGGCACAGGCACAGAAACATCAGCAGAAGATGCCAGCCCTGTGTCAGAGGGCAGCCCTGGCTGTGGATGCACATGTAAGAACACACAACTCCAGGGCCCTCCCTGGTGACAGGGATGGAGCTACTTACCAAGTGCCCAGTTTGTCTCGGGCATCTGACATCTGTCTCCATTACTTTCACTTGAAATTGTGCTCAATGATTCCTTGTTATTAGACCCAGTTTACAGATGAGAGAATGGAGGCCAGAGAGGCAGTTACCTGCCCTGGGAAACATTGGTAGGAGGTGACAAAGGCCACAAGCCTGATCCCAAAGCCCAATTTTCCCAAAGGGACTTGCTCCTGGGGGAGATAAACACACAACACCATTAATAAAAAAAACCACGGGGGCAGCAGAGTGGAGATAAGAGATGTTGTGCAATTTCATGCAGACTGCAAATGAGGTTGTGTGTGTGTGTGGGTGAGGTGTTGAGCTGTGTGTGCACACTTACGTACATGATGGGAGTGTATCAGTTGATGTGTGTACATGGATATTGCCCACATGTGTTGTGTGTGTTTAGTCATCCAACAACATGTGTTGCACACATACTCTGTTCTTAAAAGTGAGGGGCTGCAGGAACAGCCCTGCAGGTGTCTGCGAGCACATGGGTGTGTGGGCAGCTCGGCTGAGCCCGGCTGGGCCTGCTGATATCTGTGGGTCCAGCCCCATCTCGCCTGATCCATACCTTCCCTTCTTTGCCTGTGCTCTTTCCTCCACAGCTGCCCTCAACTCAGCCTGTTGGAATCCTCCCTCCTCTGAGCTTCCCCTAGCCCTCCACCAAGAAATGGCTAATCCTCGTCACCCCCACCCTGCTCAGCTGTGCACAGTGACCCCTCCCCTCCCGTGTCAGCACTCTGTGGACCTTTGCTGGCTGGCGAACCTGAGAACCGCCCCCTCCCCCTGATGAAGGGCTGGGGGCTGTCCCTGTGTCCCCACCGTTCCCAGTTTCCCTCCCAGCTTCCCCCTCCCACACCCCCCCCCCAACTTTATTTTTGTTGTCTCCCTTCCCTATTTATAGCTCTCTCTCCCCTCCAGAACCATCCCAGCATCCATCCTGTTGCCTAGAAACTGGCTCTGGGCTGAGAGTGGGGGAAGGCCAGGCCAGCCAAGGCAGGGGGGAGGAAGAACTGTCACCCACTCCCCGTCTCAGCATTGGTCTCAGGCTCCCAGAAGCCCACACCAGCCTCCGCCCAGCACCCACATGTGTTTCCTAAAAGATAAAACATGTGGAAAGCAGCAGCCTTTGTGATTTGTGAAGCCCTTCACGACTTCTAAAGGGCAATCTATACACGCCATTCCCTGATGCTCTCAGTAGCCTATCCTGTGGGAGGCCTGGACCCACTTTTTCAGATGAGGAAACTGAGGCTTCAGGAAGCAAATGTCTCATAGCTCATGTCTTCTCGGTAGAAATTCCATGGCTTTCTTGGGACATTGGCCTGAAACGCTGAAAAGAAGCTCTAAGAGCACAAATAATCCCATAATCCATTATTTTCAAATGGGTAAAGAGAAAAATGTCATGATCTTGTCACACACCAAGCCACCAGCCCTGCCTCTGCCATACACCCACCATACACTCTGCTGTGCCCCACACCATGGTCCCAGCATGTCCCTGCAATGCCCAGCCATGCCACCCCACCTGCCCCCCGCCATACCCAACTGCAGCTCGACTTCTGGTCCTGATGCTCACCTTCCACAGATTGGACCAGGGAGCCTGAGCTTGCTCCCTGGCTCTGTTACTTCACCAGCTTTGTGACCTTGACAGTTCACATAACCTCTCTGAGCCTTGGTTTCCTCAGCCTGAAAGAATGCTGATTTCCACCCCAGAGGACTAGTAAGAGACACAGATGAGAAAGTGCTTTGAAAACCATAGAGTGCTGTAACGTGTGAGTGACTAATTCAAATAGTTACTATTGCTACTGTTACTATTAGGGCCAAGAGGTAGGGCAGGGGAGCCAAAATGGGCCCAGGCTTACCAAGGGAACCCTGGCCTGTGTCCAGCCAGAGGACTCCTTTCCCTGGAAGAAGGAGGGACCTGGGTGGGGACTGCCTGAGAGCACCTACAGACCACTGAGGAGCCGGGGAGGGCACAGAGGCCTCATGCCTGACTCCTCCGGCTCTCACGCATCCCATGCCCTCCTGCCTCACTCCCTGTCTCCCACCCAAAAGGCCCACTTGTACCTTTGAAATTGGCTCTCTGGGCAGAATGGGGGAGAGGGCTGCCAAGGAGCAGCTGGGCCATGATTCAGTCTGAGTCACCCATCCAAATGCTGGGGCCACCCCCAGCTGGGCCAGGGCCTGCAGCTGCTGGGGGTTGGGATATGGAGAGGAAGGGAGGAGGCCTGTGTGGGCGGCAGGCTGTGCTCACATGTGCTTAGGCCAGGGCCTTTCATGAATATCATAGCAGCTGTGAGGGCCTGGTGCATATGAAGAGGTCAGAGTCGGGACAGTGACTCCATGGACATGTTATCTGGGCTGACTGAGAAGGTAGGGTTTTTGTGTGTGTGTGTGTGTGTGTATGCCTGCACATGCATGGGGTGTTGCAAATATATCTGAGTAAATGAAGAAGAGCTAATACTGTGGACTGAAGTTTGGCTCCCAGCTTTATCACTTTCCAGCTGTGTGACCCTGGTGGTAAGTTACTTAACCTCTCTAAACTTCTGTTTCCTCACCTATGAAATGGAAATAACAATACTATCACTCTCAGATAATTTTTCTTACGAAGTAAATGTAATGAGATGATGACTGTAGAACAATTAGGCAGACAGTAAGTGGTACATCACCATCATTATCATCATCTAGGGCAGTGGTCGGCAAACTGCGGCTCGCGAGCCACATGCGGCTCTTTGGCCCCTTGAGTATGGCTCTTCCTAAGCCTTAGGAGTACCCTAATTAAGTTAGTGGCAACGTACCTACCTATATAGTTTAAGTTTAAAAAATTTGGCTCTCAAAAGAAATTTCAATCGTTGTACTGTTGATATTTGGCTCTGTTGACTAATGAGTTTGCCGGCCACTGATCTAGGGTATCTGGGTTATACATTGCCTGCATGAGGACAGGTACATATCTGAGTGTCTGTGTTCAGGCGTGTGTCTGTACAAGCCTCAGGGGATGGGAGGTCTGGGTGAATGTTTCTTGAAGGAGCCAGTGAATGTTGTGTGTACAATTCTGAAGCAAACACAAGCACTTTCCAAAACGTTGGATTCACTGTCTGCCATATGATCCCATCTCCGCCCTCTCTCTCTCACACACACACACACAC